GTTATTGGCCAAAAACGAAAATTTGGAAGAAATTGAAGGGGTACCCCTTGGAAAAATCTCGGAAAAATCGAAAATTTTTTTTTGTTTTTTATTATTAGCAATGTTCTTCCGACGTCTGATTTCTTTTTAAAAAATGCGTTTCTAAAGTGCATCAACTTTTGGGATTGACTGTATAGCCAATACATCCTTAAATAATAACGGTAGATCTCAATCGTATGTCAGACAAAATTAGCGCAGTTAGTGAAACTCGGATTGAATTGTTGGTCTCTAAAACACATTCAACGCAAAATTAAAAAATTGGATATTTGTAATTTTCTAAATTCTTTTCTCGTATATTTGTCTCTCCAAATAATCATCACATTTTTTCGTACATTGTGTTTTCTGTATACGTAAGCGAATTGTATCGATAAAAGATAATGCAGCTGCAAGTCTAAGTGATAAGCGAAATAATGAGAAAGAGAACACAATCTACTATAAACGGTTTGGCCTATATATATTTGCCACGTTTTACTTTACTATTGATGTTTATTGCTGCAATGGTCTGACCAATGTTCGTGGTCGAATATTGGTCACATGCATGTTATGTCCAATCTATAAATCACAATGAGACTGAATAAATTGAGTCAGTAATTTAATTAAACGTATTCTTGTATCATCATAAAAATTTAAGCTATACTAAATCAGACTTGTATTATCTTTTGTTCTGAGTTCCAAGAAAGATAAAGAATATATGCTTTGTTACATTTAATCGTACGTAGGTTGATAACTTGAAGGGAAAATGTTAAGACGGTTACGTTACGTGACATTTGTTTCAGTAGAAGAGGAAGAGGAATACGGAATACGGCAAGATAATGACAATCAGAAACCGGAACAAGTTACCGTAAAAGACCTGACACAGCGTCTAGAAGAGTTACAAGCCTGTCATGATTTACTATTGAAGAAAGGGGGCATCCTTCATCGAACTTTAAACGAGCTCGAGGCGTTGGAACCTCCATTGCCTGAATTAGCCGCAAAAGTAAAGACAGTTAACGAGCGAGCCACGCTCTTTCGCATGGCTGCTAGTGCTATGGTCACTGTAAGTTGAAGGATCATGATGCTAATATATGAAATTAACCCGTTCCTTTCGTATGCAAATCATGATATCTTCTCGCCAAATTATTTTACTCAAAATATATACTTAGAAAGACTGGTTGAACTTTTTAATTATAATTTGATTATTGTTTGATATATTGTGATATTTGATTATTATGATTATCTCTGTTAATGTCTGAGAAAGCGAAATCTAGAAATTAAGCATTTTATGTATGCGCAACAGAGAGAAAACTTGAGTTGATACTAAATCAATGTCGGTTGACATCGATAGATGTATCAGTCACGTGAAAACAGGATGAATTGTGATTTCAGGCTAGTACCGACTACCTTCAATTAGCGCAGCAACAGGAACCGAAGTGGAAGAAAATGCTGCAGCACGAGCGCGATCAGAAAGAACGAATAGAAAAAATGGTAGAGCAACTGGCTAGGCAGCACTCGCATTTGGAAGAGGCTGCGCAGCACGCTCTACCTTCGGCGGGTACTGGAGGAGGACACAGAGCTTCGCGTAAATTTAATCTATATTCATTTTTTTATATGATCAGTAGTGCTGTATTTGGTGTTTCTACACTGCGAGCCGCGCCGTTGCGTACAGCTAAGGAAAATGAACTTTATGAACTGACTATTTGTTTATTGTCCAAATTGCGTTTATGCTTTCACCTCTGTACATTGTCCGCAGCACACAATGTCCTGATTGTGCTCTGTGTGGGCTTTTTTAACTTTGTAAGGCTGACTGAGATACTAATAGAAATGTATGTTAAATACACACATATCATACGTCGTGCATATGTTAGTTGTTTAGGTGACAGTATTTGTTGTGCGAGGGATGCTGTATTCATCAGACGATAATGCACAGCTATATATCTGCTCACTTTTACTGCTTGTTTAACAATACGCTTGTTACACGGAATGTGGATTTAAACACTTACGCTTTTGCGTACTTTGCCGCTTTTCAATCAGATGGTGCTCGCGGAGCTCGTCAGCTGACTCGAATGCCGTCATGACTTGCGTAGCTTCAGGTGTATGCATGCAAAACGTATCATTATGTAGGTATTCCATAGGAATGTATAGAGTATATATATATATGTATGTATGTATGTAGGTGACACGCACACATAATATATATATATAGATATAGACATGTAACATGCATATATACACGCGCACGGGTGTGCTTTCATTTCTCCCAAGTTTGGTGCTTAATCAGACTCAGATGGCCTTGTAAATTTACTCCTTCCGGACGGGTCTTCCATTTGACAGTTCTTTTCCGCGATTCCACAGTTAAATTTGATGTGTAAAATCTCGGGTCGAGTGACGAAACTTATCTCGCTTTTCGTAGTTTTCTTAAGAGGATCAGTGAAGAGATGTTAAACCGATAAATAAAAGCGGGGTAAAGGGGAAGGGTTCATAACGGTCCGCAGCTTCAACCGAGTTTATGTAGTAAGGGACGGGCAAATGAGAGCGGCTAGCCGATCTCCACGTAGCATAACCTAATGCACGGTATATTGTGTGATTAAAGACAGAGATAATATCACTTTGTACGAGTACATTTAGTGATTGATTATTTGTTACTTTAATCAGTACTGCAGGTGTGGACCGTGATTTTTGGGGGTAGACAGTGGACGGTTCAACTGAATGGCAGCAGTACAGTTGTTATACCATGATTCAATCGGTTAGAAAGGGGAGATGGTACAAATAATAAGGGGAAGGGTCGGCCGGATTAATACAAAACGGAGGAGTTGAAGTGAAAAAAGATTTGTGCAGTGGCATGTGCGGTTACATAGGTGTCAATTAAAAGTTCTTCTATACTTTGTCGTCTATCTACATCTTCGATTGGCGCGAAATACACGTTCCATTGCGTAACCTGCTGATGATAGCTTTCGCTGTATTTAGTATAGACGCGTCCGCATTTTATCGCCAATCTTAACGAACAAAGTGGCCGATGACACGTGAAGGTTCTACACTTTGAATTTTTGAATCTTTGCCGTAAGATTGTAAATTGAATAACTGTGTTTCATTGATCACCTAAATCTCATTTAGCTTCGCGCGGTATATATTTAGTCCTTTATTTAATTAAGTGTTTGATGAGGCTAAGCAAAATTTTGATTAATTTTTGTAGATACGACAGTCACCACTTCCCCATCGGAAGACGAGGAAGATAATGCAGAATTTTATGATGCACAAGAATCTGATATTTTTACTTTAAGTATACCCGGTGTTTCAACAAACAATTCAAGAGACAGAACTGACTCGCAAGGTAGTGATGACGGTTCTAGTTCAGAAGGAGATCAAACGCCTTTGCCTTTATCAGACACAGCTACAGCAAATTCCTTTCGCATTGTGACCGACTCTACAGTAGCAACACCAACCACTGTTACAAACTCAGACAATCTGGATAATGTGAGTGATCTTTCTCTGATCAATCAATTATGGTACCTTTCCCTTTCATTTATTGTTTCATTCAATTATCAGACAAATTGGGAATCCAACAATGGCAGCAGTGGCACCAGGGTAGTTGGTTCTAAACGAAAACGAAGAACTAGGGTACCTGAGAAACCAAATTATCAGTTAAACTTATGGAGTATAATGAAAAACTGTATTGGCAAAGATTTATCAAAAATTCCAATGCCTGTCAATTTTTCTGAGCCACTCAGTATGCTTCAACGGCTTACAGAAGATTATGAATATGCAGATATTCTGGATAGGTACATCTGATTCTTATTTGGTTATTAAATGATGAATATAAATAAATAACATACTTGTTACGATTTACAGGGCGGCAGAATGTAAAGATTTCTATGAACAGATGGCTTACGTAGCCGCATTTACTATATCTAGCTATTCCACAACTGCTTCCAGAACTGGCAAGCCTTTCAATCCTTTGTTAGGTGAAACGTACGAATGTGATCGTGTTGATGATCTAGGATGGCGCGCGATTTCAGAACAAGTGTCTCATCATCCTCCAATGTTAGCACAACATTGCGAGGGTCGAAAATGGCGTTGTTGGCAGGAATTTACCATGGCATCAAAATTTCGCGGCAAATACCTTCAAGTACGTTTTAAAATGCACTTACGTTGTGTAATGTTGTAAATAAACGTGCGTAAACATTTAATCTTGTTACGATTCGTCGTAGGTAATACCATTAGGAACTGCTCACCTTGAAATAGACGGTGGTGAACATCACTATACGTGGCGAAAAGTCACGACCACTGTACACAATATAATAGTAGGAAAATTATGGGTGGATCAAAGTGGTGACACGGATATTGTGAATCACAAACAAGGTATCAAGTGCCATTTGAAGTATACGCCCTATTCGTACTTTTCAAGGGACAGTCAGCGTAAAGTAAAAGGTGTCGTCATGAATGCAAATAATGAAGTTAAGTGGGTAGTGCAAGGTACATGGGATTCAAAGATAGAGATTGCTCCTGTAATTAGTACGTCTGGTACGCCAGATAATCCAGTATATAAAACAGGGCCTTACATACTCGCTTGGAAGCGTCGTACGTCAGTGTAAGCATTTATTAGTTAAAAAAGTACATTTTAGAAAATATATTATTAAAAATTATATCTTTTCTCACGTTATAATGCTTTTGTTATTGTAGTTCAGATAGTGAAAAGTATTACAATTTTACGGAACTAGCGTGTCAACTTAATGAGCCTGAGGATGGGGTTGCTCCTACAGATTCTAGATTTAGACCTGATCAACGACTAATGGAAAATGGACAGTGGGATGAAGCAAATGCAGAAAAACTCCGATTAGAAGAAAAACAGAGAGCTGTCCGACGTGCTCGGGAACACGAGGCTGAGAAAGCGGCTACTCAAGGTACTTTTATATATTCATGATTAATTGGAGAACAGTTTCTCAATTATTGAAGAAAGTTAACTAAATAATTTTCATTTATGTCAGGTTTACCGTATGAAGCTTACGAGCCGTTATGGTTTAAAAAAGAGCAGGATCCATACACGGACAGTTTGTGCTACATATACGGTGGTGAATATTGGGAATGTAAGAGTAAAGGTGATTGGTCACGATGTCCGAACATATTTTAGTTCACTATATGATTATATCAATTAATATCGTGACCGCCAATATACAATGCAGAAATGTTTGGATTTGTTTAAAGTAAAGGTAGTCATTTTAGATATCATTTTCGCGAAGAACATGGCGTTTGAAACTAAAAGCAAAAATGCTGACGTGATAAAGTCGAGTTGTTAGGGAACATGGTTTAGTCATTAGTCACTACATCTTCCAATGAACTGGTCGAAATTTGCATTCTGACACATATAATGAGCGTTTTTGTAGTATACCATTTATCCCCATTGTCTTACATATCCTTCTGTTTGCATCATGGTCCCTTTCATGTACCCACTTTTTTAAACAAACGAGAGTATCATCGTATACAGTCCACATGGCCCAATTAACGCTTTGCATACAGTTTTTTATGAACTTAAAAATTTTCCGTATTCGTTTTAGATTCTGTTAAATAAGCTAGATGTGTATGATAATACGTTCATGAAAAATCCAGATACTATCAATAAGCAAATTCAATTCGCAAGAATTTTGTTAACTCAGTTTATAACTGAAGTATAGCAATAAGATCGATGACTTTTATTACGAGAACATTAAGATATTAGAAACAAATGTTAAAGATCGCAAAGAACTGGAAGTTTAAGTTGAACAATCAATACTGTTGCAGTATTTGTAATTCGTTTTAAACGGATTTAGATGATTAAATTTCCTCTTTTAAATATGAATACTAATTTCCAATCAAGACCGAATGTAGCAGCAACTTCGGGAAATTACCATAACTTTCTGATACATTGATTATTAC